AAAGCCATCAAAGACAAAATTTAAGCATAGTTTAAATAAGATAAAATCTAATTTACCAAGTTCAGCCTGTAAATCTGAAATGTCAGTATGTGTGTAACATGTTAATGGCTCAGAATTATAGTAATGACCAGGATTGAAGAGGAAACATTTGTTTATAATTTAAAATGCAAAGTGTGAGGGAAGCTTAATGATGCATTATGTTTAGATAACTGATACTGTGATATGAAACAAAGCCACATTTTTAGAAAGAGGACGTGTTGGCCAAGTGGCTTCTGACAGTTGTAATTCAAGCTCAAATAATACTGCTGTTTTGGTATTTTTAAGCTAAGACTTAATACTTTTATTTGTGAAGTGAGGGCCTGTGACTGTAGTCCATCTGGGCTCCTCTTTGTGCCCTCTATAGGAGTAAAGAAAAGTCTCTTCAGATGCATAATTCTAGTTTGTATGCAATGCTTCCCAGCATAGTGTTGATAGCACAGTGACAACACATAACCCTGCTTTGATCTCACATGTAAATCTGTCTTTGGATCATATTCTATCATTTCTTAAACTAAATGAAATAGTATAGTGAAATTTTCTTAAATTCTGGGTTTTTTTTTTGTTTTTACTTTTTTTTTTGTTTTGTTTTTGTCTTGTTTTGTTTTTTGCCTTTAGAATCACTAGTACAGTTTTATTGTGTTACTAAAAATGATTGGAAAAACCAAAGGTCAGATCCTTTGTGTGGGAGAAAATCCCCCTTATAAGTAATATACCTCATATCTGAAAGGCATAGTAGGCCTCTTAAAATTCTGAATTTATGGGAGAGGGAGCCCTGTGACCTTGTTAGGATCTGTTTTTGATCATTTCTTAGGATGAATGCAATTTAGAACTCCCCTGGATTATTCTGCCAGCTATTCAGTTGTTGATGATATTGACTTTTACTTTTAAAATGTCTTTGCTTTGGAAAATTGTTTTTAACAGCCTTCAACCACTTATATTTTGAATTTTTATGTTGTATCACTTTTCATTTGGGACATTAAGTCAAATTCTTGGTAACCATTCTCCACAATCCAATTTATTTTTACCCAAGATCCATTGAATTCAGCTCACTGCCTTTCTGTAAAAGGTTAACCCAATATGTCATGTTATGTTATACTTTCTACTCATGCTATATAAAAGAAAAGTTACTGTGATAAGCAGCCAATAAATTGCATTCAGAATGTTTATTCTTAAAAATTACATTACTATGCTGACATAGATAAACATAATCATTTATCACAATATGGATTGTGAAATAACTAAAATAAATGGACCCATCTTGCCTGTTACCCAGTGTTTTTTTTTTTTCTTTAAATGTTGGTCACAATAACTACCTTTAAAAAATGTTATCTTGCGCCTGGGTGGCGCAGTCGGTTAAGCGTCCGACTTCAGCCAGGTCACGATCTCGCGGTCCGTGAGTTCGAGCCCCGCGTCAGGCTCTGGGCTGATGGCTCAGAGCCTGGAGCCTGTGTCTCCCTCTCTCTCTGCCCCTCCCCCGTTCATGCTCTGTCTCTCTCTGTCCCAAAAATAAATAAACGTTGAAAAAAAAATGTAATCTTCTTATTTATCAGTTTGAATTAATGTATGAGATTAGTAATGGTTCAAGCTTGAATAACTACACAAAAAACCATATTTATTGTATAATAGGAAAGTATTTTAAACTTTTTTTGTATAAAAATGAGGTTATATTTTTAAATGTTGGCTCTTATTAATATGTTATTTTGGCATTATATCATCATAAGGAATAAACCATTTAAAACTCATAGCTCTATTTGGTGTTTGTTATCCAGAAGACAGAGACATCTAAATTGGTAAATTTTGAAGAAATCTCATGTTCATCATGTATAGGAATTACTAAAAATAATTTTCACTTATATTGGGCTAATAAAGTAAGTCCCAGGGATGTTTAATAGAGTGAATACAGCACACAGTGAAACCTGAATGTAGTATTTGGTGATTATTTATTTACTTACTTGATAGCAGCTTTACTGAGGTATAATTCACATACCACACAATTCACTCATACAAAGTATAGAATTCAAAAGCTGTTAGTGTATTGATAGTTGTGTTTCTGTCACCACTGCCAATTTCATCAGCCCAGAAAGAAACCATGTACCCTTTGGCAGTCATTCCATTTCCCCTTAATCCTCCAACCCCTGGTAAGCGCAGCCTACTTTCTGTCTCTATATATTTGCCTATTCTGGACATTATATATAAATGAAATCATATGATATGTGATATTTTGTAACTGGCTTCTTTCAGCATAATATTTATGTTCATCTATGTTGTTTGTGAATTTCCCCAATTTTTTCTGTTATTGATAAAAATTCCATTATGCTTGGAGAACTACTTCATATGATTTTAAAATTTATTGAGGCTTCTTTTATGGTTTAGCATATGATCTGTCCTAGAGAATGTTTTGGGTACATCTGAGAAGAGTGTGGATTCTGCTGTTCTTGGGTATACCACAGATAAAGCTTTGTCTTTGTGTTGAATCTGATACCTGTGCCCTTTGGAAGGCAGATTCTGTTTACTTTTTTTCTTGTGTGGGTCACACAATCCTGTTTTTTTAACGTCTTATAACTTTTTTTACTTATTAAAAATTGAACATTTTAGATAAAATATTGTAGCAATTCTGGATAGTAGCCTTTCTCCCCTAAAATGGGGCTTATTGATGTTTGCTTATTTGTTTAGTGACTTGATGCACTATTTTAGGGAACTCTATTTCTCCCAAGATGTGAACCTCTGATTGTATTTGCATAAAGTGAAGTCTTGGGCGTATGCACAATAACTCTGGGATGCTAATGGATGTGAACCTCTGATTGTATTTGCATAAAGTGAAGTCTTGGGCGTATGCACAATAACTCTGGGATGCTAATGGTTTTATCAGGGCTTTATTTGCCTTTTCCCCTATTTTTTTTAAAACTGCCCACCTCTGTTGGTATTACACCCAGCTCTTGGTTTCTACTGATTGCTGTCTGATTGCTCTATTATTTTTGACAATGTCCTGGAATATAAATTACTGCACAGTATGAGTCAATTAAATTTGGGTGCCTTGCAGGAATAGTTTTTGAAGTGAGTCTTTGAGGTTTCTTGTAATCCTAGGGGAGCTGTTCTTAGCTATTTCTTTCCCTGGTTCTCTCTGGTAAACTGTCTGCCTTATGATTTAGTTTATTGCTCTCATGAAGCTATCACCCTCCTCTTAATTGTTTGCCATCAAACTATTTACTGTTTTTGAGAATAGCCATAGGCTTGAACTTCCCCACGTACTAATTCTAATAAAATCAGTTGTTTTAGGGGGAGCTGCCTGTTCTTATGACTTGCCTCTTCCCCTGCAAAAAAAATCCCTGAGCCACAGCTACAGAGCTAGGGGTGGTTTAGTGGCTTGCTTTTCCCAGATTGACACTCCTGTGTTATGAGCAGAACACTGGTGTAGGCAGTACCTTCTGATCTCAGTTTGCTTCTCCTGGTTTGTTAACTCCAAACCTTGAATAAATTAAGGTGAGGGTGATTAGTCCTCCATGTAATTGGCATGTTTGCTGCATGTGCGGTAGAACTTCTGCTCTATGAGTGGGGACTAGGTGAAGCAAGGGAGCTCCTGCCTTCTCAGCTGCACTCTCTGGAGTTTAGTTGCTGCATAGTGGGTTGTGGGGGGGGGGGGGATGGGGGAATGAGAAATGCTAATAGTCTGCCCTTCTCTGGGAAATACCATACACTCAACTGGAAGCTGGGGGCAGATGGACCTTTGTGTTCTTGGTTGCACTCACTTGAGGTAGAATTTCTGTTTACTGAGCTGTGGCATGGTGGAGGGGTGGGCAGGCCATTCTTCAAATGCCATAGACCTTCACTGTTTTTACCAATTCTTAGTAGATTTTTCTTGAGCAAATGTTTCTTCATTTGCTATTTGACTTTAGGATGATTTCTGGAGACTTTGAAGGATTCTTATTTTTACTAATTTTTATCAGTTACATTTTGTTGGGGAATTTATCTAAAGAAGTCTTCATGCTATCATTTTGGAAGACCTCTGGTGGTTTTCTTTTAAATACTCTCTTTTTTTTTTTTTTTTTTTTAACGTTTATTTATTTTTGAGACAGAGAGAGACAGAGAGAAACAGAGCATGAACGGGGGAGGGTCAGAGAGAGGGAGACACAGAATCTGAAACAGGCTCCAGGCTCCGAGCTGTCAGCACAGAGCCTGACGCGGGGCTCGAACTCACGGGCCGCAAGATCATGACCTGAGCCGAAGTCGGCCGCCCAACCGACTGAGCCACCCAGGCGCCCCTTAAATACTCTCTTAAGACAGTACTTTGAAATTAATTCTTTATTGAGTTTTTCAGGTGACATTTAATTTATTTGCATACATAGTTAAAAAGGTTTTCTCTTCTGCTTTTGTACGTCACAAAGTCATAGTAAAATATAGTCTTTTTTTGGGTAAATTTGAATATAAGCTTAATACAGAGAAGAACTGAGTTCTAATTCAGTCCCTTTAGCATATTAATTGTGAGATCTCAAATAGGTTACTTAAGCACCTTGAATGTATTTGCTTATCCAAAATTTTGAAATAATAGTAGCTATTATTAAATTAAATTAGGTAATGCATGTGAAAACAATTTGTTAATTCTAAAAACTTAAAATGGGGAGTGTTGTTATTACACGCTCAAATAAAATCTGCATCTTTTATGATTTCATTCTCATCTAAAAATACTATGTATAAAATTTATCTTAAAGAGTCTTCAGTATGGTTTATGTGATTTTTAAATCCTTCATATTACGATCAATAAGTATTCTTATAAAATCAGTGAGTATATCACCTAGCAAATGATTACTTTAGATAAGCTTATGGTGGAATTACAACAATAGAAGGAGAAAACAACATGTTCAGTATAAGTCTTTGGAGTGAGTGGTGAGTAATCTTAAAATAAAATTTTGATTTTTTTTTATATGCCAACATAGTTGTTTATATGTTGTTTATACTGTCTTCAGAGTATCCTGGCTCTAAATCCTCGAACACAAACTCATGCAGCGCTGCGTTCCACTTCAGCCAAGAAAGTAGACAAGAAACATTGGAAAAGAAATACTGATAAAAACTGCTCTGTAAGTACCACTGATAGATTGTTTCACATGGAAAATAATCTCATCCTATACATTGTAAAACAAGATTTTACATATACTTAGAAATACAATTAAATATGTGTAAAGTACAGCTGTAATTTTTTTCATACTTTAGATATTTTTTATTTGAATAATCTCAAAGATGTTTTTAATTTTACTGCTTGAAAATCTATTGAAACAACTAAAAAATTATATGTTTAGTGTGGTACCAAAATTTATTGCCTTAAAAATCCGTAAACCTTCTCTTAAAATTCTTTTGTAAAATCAAAAACACAAGGAACAATAAGTGTTGGTGAGGCCGTGGAGAAAAAGGAACTCTCTTATGCTATTGGTGGAATGCAAACTGGTGCAGCCACTGTGGAAAATAGTATGGAGGTTCCTCAAAAAATTAAAAATAAAATTACTATATGATCCAGTAATTCCACTACTGGGTATTTACCCAAAGAATACAAAAACACTAATTTGAAAAGACCCGTGCACCCCTATGTTTGTTGCTGTATTATTTACAATAGTCAAACTATGGAAGCCCCCCTCCCCAGGTGTCCACTGATAGAGGAGTGGATAAAGATGATGTAGTGTGTGTATATATACACACACAATGGAATATAGAGAGTATAATGCTAAGCAAATAAGTCAGAGAAAGACAAAGGCCATGTGATCTCACTCATGTGGAATTTAAGAAAAAACAAATAATCAAAAGAAGAAAAAAGAAGCACATTAAGAAACAGATTCTTAACTATAGAGAACAAACTGATGGTTACCACAGAGGAAGTGGGTGAGGGAATGGGTGAAATAGGTGTTGGGGATTTAAGAGTACAATTATTATGATGAAAAAAATTAAATTAAAATCCTTGAAAATTGTTTTGTATAACAATAAAATGATACAGAAGAGTTTCCATATTACAGATATAATTTAGCTGAAGAACAGTACACTGGCATATACAAGCTATTGTATGATGTGGTTTTGGGGAACATATGAGCAACATTTGGGGAATACTATAAACATTTAATATTTCCAAGTGAGGTACAGGAGAAAAATGTCTGAGATTACTGATTGCTGAAATGTTATTTAACTGATTCTATGAGGTTATCACAGGGCTGGCACTTTGAGGCCATAAATGGGGATTAAGTACAAACTCGAAGGCAATATTTAAAATACGACTTTAGGGGGCATACCTTTTTAAAATTGGAAATCAATTTCCTTTTTACCCAATTTCCCAAAATTAGTTTCCCCCAAATGAGTTTTCTCAAATCATTTATTGAAACAATTATTTGTATTAGCTTATTTAACACTGGCTTCTTTGGTGCTTTGCTTATACTGTCTAATATAACGATTTTAGTTTATGTACTTCTTTCTTCCTTACATATGAACTCTTTGATGATGGAAATTGAGGGTATGTGCTCATTGTGTATGTATTCATCTGATTCAAAAATTTTTGTCATTGGACATCCAGGAAAGGTTTTTGAATGAAAAGAAGAAATAGAAATACAAAGAAATGATGTGACTTGAGATGATTATGTAGCCACTTAATAGCAAAGCTGGGTTGGAGTTCAGTTTTCCTTGTACCAGTTTGGTGAATTTGCTTTCTAATATCATGAGGTCTCTGGAAGAAGACTAGTGTGGTCTAAATTATATCAAAGGATAGACTGACTCTAAGATCTTATATTACAGTGTGAATAATTGCAGGGCACTGAAAAAAGAGTCATGTAAATTTCAAATGTAGAAAGCCCTTAAAGATTATCAACTCTAAATCATTTTAAAGGTATGAGAACTTTGACCCTGATAAGTTAAATGACTTCTCTAAGGTCTCATCTATATGTTATTAAACTATTTATGGTCAGAGTTCTATTTAGAAAGAGAGGCTTTCTTATCATTTTATTATTATTTTATGAAATTAGCATTTTATTCCAAAATGTTATCCTGGAAATTGAGTGTCTCATTTTATCAGATTTTTTAATAATTGGTAAAGATGCAGTGAGGTGGGTCTTCTCCATTAAATGTATTGGCAAAAATTCTGAGAGAAGCAATTTGACAGTATTTTTGGCAATATTCATCAACACCTGTCTTAGTTTGCTAGGGCTGCCATAACCAAGTAGCATTGACTGGGTGGCCTAAAGAACAGAAATTCTCAATGTTGTAGAGGCTAGGAATCTGAGATCAAGGTGTCAGCAGGGTTGTTTTCTTCTGAGTCCTCTCTCTTGGTTTTCCCTTGTGTCTTTGTTATAGTCTTCCCTCTGTGTGTGCCTGTATCCAAATTTCCTCTTATAATGACACTAATACTAGATTAGGGCCCCCTCTTAATGACCTCATTTTAATTCAGTCATCTCTGTAAAGACTGTCTCCAAATAAAATTACATTCTCAGGTACTAGGGGTTAGGACTCTAGCATATAAATTTGTGGGGTATATAGTTCAGTCCATAACAATATCTTTAAATTATCAAACACTTACATCCAATAATTTATCTTGTAGTAAACTATCCTAAACAAAGAATTAGGAATGTAGATAAAGAATTAAGTAGAAAGAAGGTTTTCCCAACATTATTTATTTGGTAGAGAAAAATGTGGGGAAAACCCACTGAATTCCAAGCATTGAGTTGTGGTTAAATAAATCAGGGCAGATCCATTCAGCAGTAAGTTGTGCAATCATGGAAATTATTTTTAAAATAATTATCTGGAAAAATACAATATATATTATAAGGAAAAGGCATGAAGCATTATATTTAAGAATGATTGTGTGCACTTATACGCACATATTCACCTAGACATATATTCACAAAGAAAAAAAGAAAATATAATGGAATGTTAATAGTGATTACCTTTGTTTTTTTTGCACTTTTGTATATTTCAAGTTTTATATAATCAGGTATTAGAAAAATGAAAGCTTTAAATTCATGTTAAAATAATCTTAATCTACAAGATCAGATTTATTGCTCTGGATGTATACCATTTTGAAAATTCTATTTGACACACCTATATTAACAAAACACAGTGAAATTCATTCCCAAAGTGGAAATATGGAGCGAAGCTTTGAAAGTTATTCTCAGTGCAGTTAAAGAATGTGGCTCCTTTCCTTTTCATTATTGTTCTTATGTGTTTGCATGAAGAATTGATTAAAAGTATAACCAAAAGATTCTTTTCTTTTCTTTTCTTCTTTTCTTTTCTTTTCTTTTTTTATTATTTTAGAGAGAGAGAGTGAGGGGGGAGAGGGACAGAAGGAGAGAGAGAGAATCTTAAGCAGACTCCATGCTCAGTGTGGAGTTCAACATGGTGCTCCATCCCATGACCCTGAGTTCATGACCTAAGCCAAAACCAAGAGTCAGATGCTCAACTGACTGAGCCACCCAGGTGCCCCTGATTTATTTCTTACTTTACAGATTTTCATATTTGTGTTTTATAATCACTCCTCTAAATTCAAAAGCCTTATATGTATATAAACAAACATAAGACTTTGAAAGGTAGAGAGAGGACCAAGTAGCTAGAGAAATGGAACCTAAAGAATGAAATAGTGGTGAGTTCCTAGGGTTTTCCTTTTTCTGTATTTTTCCCAGTCTTGGGGGAGCACCTGGCTGGCATGAGAATCTTGATCTTGAGGTCATGAGTTGAAGCCCCATATTGGGTATAGAGCTTACTTAAATTAATTAAATAATTAAAAATAAAATTAAAAAACATGTGTCTTGGAAAAACTAGAAATCCTAAAATAAATGAAGAAAATGAAGAAATATCTCAGTCTTGGGACTAAAGAATTTAGAGAACTGGCAACACTAACTTCACACACACATGCGCGCGCACACACACACACACACACACACACACACACACACACACAAATCCTAACAAAAGTCTGCTCTCTCTAGCCAAATTACCAGGGAAAAAACAGCCTAGCAAGACAGAAAACCTTCAGACCGTAAGTTGTCTACTCTACCCAAACACATCAAGAAAAACTGTGGCCCTATCCCTATGTATTCCATAAAGGCTGAGAAGAGAGCCTAGACTTCCATTCTGTAATGAGATAATGAGATGCCCACACACCTCTGCTGGGTGAAAGAATAGGGAGCCAGCACTTTCATCCCCATTAGCTAGCCAGTAACTGAAAGGGCCCACATCCCCACTTACCCTCTGTGATGTCAATGACTTCTCTCACTATCCAGAGGAAGAAAAGAAAGAGGGCAGGGCTGAAAAATACTCAAAAAGGAAATAATGACTAACAGCTTTGCAAATTGGGAAAGAGACATAAACCTACAAATTCAAAAAACCTGTGTGAAACCCAAAGAAAACCATAGTAAGATATGTCATAATTGAATTTCTGAAAACTAAAGACGAAGACAGTATCCTGAAGGAAGCTAGCCCACTTGCTTCAAGACAGGGACAACTCTTGTGGGCTGTTATGCTCCTAAGCCTTGCTCTATTGCTTTGGCTATGACTAGAAGGTACCACTGACTGCGTCCTTGCTTTGAAAGTTTCCCTCCTTCCTACCCTGCTTTATGCCTCTTGTACTTTTCCTGAATAGCCCTCGTTCCATAAATCACCTGCACCCAAATCCCTGTTTCAAATTTGCTTTTAGGAAAAATGAATTGAAATTGGTAAACAAAGGGTGAAATCTTGGCTCGCATCAGCAGCACTTGATACAGCGTCACTCTCTTGTTCCTAAAATATTTTTTTTCACTTGGCGTATAGAACATCAAACTCCTTGGTTTTCTTCTTTCATTATTAGCATCTCCTTGGCTTCATTGTTGGTTATTCCTCATCTTCTCACTCCTAAATATTAGAATGCTCAGAGCTTAGATCTTTCTCTCTCTCTGTAAGGCTTATTATGTTGGTGGTCTCATTTTTCTCTCCTCACTTTAATTTCTGTCTATATCCAAATCTTATTACCTCTTACCTCCTTCACCACTATCAACCTTTCTAAGCCAGCACCATTATCTCTCATCTCTCATCTGGTTTATTTCAATAGCCTTGAAATAGTTTCCATGCTTATGCCTTT